ATTTCAAGTGAACTGCCCACTAACTTCTAAAAATGGTTGGAATCAGAGAAGAAACACAAGAAAATCCCCCAGCCATCAAAGCCTGTAACTTTATTATTTTTGCAAACTACATGTGAAGAGATGTTGTTATTTTATTCTAAAACCCAGGGCAAAATTAATTTATCATAAATAACAATGTAACAACAGAGCTTTCTAGCACCTGAGTCATCAAGCAGCTATACTTTCCAGAACAAGCTAACTATACTCTTCACTCACGTGCTATACAAAGAATATATCCCCAGGCACATAGTCTCTGTAGACACTTCTGGAAAGTATTTCTCTAAAACAGGAAAAACCATGCTAATATCAGGAAATGCTTGTAAAGACAAGGCTTATCATAATAAGCAAAACAGGGGAACTCACTGTGAATGAAGAAGAGTGGTCATCAGTCACCCAAGTGAACATCAGGCATGACACATCTCATGTCAGAAGGCGGCCCAAGGAATCCCTGCAACAACTCAGGAGCAGGACTAGAGGCAGCCACTCTCGTAGTCCACCTTAAAAATGCCAAAGGTCCTGGATGGCGATGAAGAAGAGTCTCTGGCTGGAGAGTGTGGTCCCAGTCCCAGGTGAGGTGAATGGTCAGGGCAATCTAAGCCTGTGAGGGCCCTCATGGCCAACACCTGCAGCCATCTGCATTTTTAATCCTACACAGATGGGCATGAGGCATGCAGAGTAAGGTGCACATGGGAATAACTGAAACAAAGCTGAATTCCTAAACCGTTTACACAAGCTGTGCGGTGCTTTGGAGTGGCAACCACAATCAATTTTGTTGCTGCAAAATATCTGTTTCCAGAAAGTTCAGCATATTCACTTAATACAAAGGCACCTGATCAGACACAGTTATCTTCTTTCAACAAAACCAGCCAGGGCTGGTAACATTCCTTGCAGGATACTGGGTGAGGAACAGTATGATTCAGCACCCAGACAGTGCCAGACCAGAGCTCTCTGACAAAGATTAATTACTTCAGCTTCAAGACTGAAACTATCCCTGGAGACCTCCTCTGTTTGCATTACAATCCTTTGTTTATTTCTCATTCCTTCTCCTGCCAAGCCATCCCTGTGCCTCCTGCCCTCCCTGTGACATACACCCACTTCTTTTTTCCCTCTCGAAAGGTCACTTCGAGATGGCTGGATGTACCATGTGCTACCACTGTTCTCAGCCACTGAAGCCAGTTCCCATAAGACAAAGGGAAACTTGGCAAAATTTGGGACATTTCTCTTCTGAAATGAGCCAATGTTCACTCAAAAGTCATGGAATCTGTTCAACCTAATTTTAATGGCTACAAGGGAAAATAATAGGCAATGGCTGTTTTGCTGGGGGTGGTGCTGATGGTGGTTTTTTTCCATTTTACATAACAAAGTTGGCTTTTGGTACATGTAATTATTTCTATTTCCAGCCTGCCCAGTACAAGGTGATACAGCTAAACAAGATTACTTGCAGATGGTTTCCAAACTGAACTGCAATGCTAAATGGAGCTAACTTACTAATGGAAATTATCAAAGCTGCTTGGAACCTCCAGAATGCAGGAGGAATTTTAATGTGACTGCAGAGAGATTTGTAGAGAGGACCCGTGCCTCCAAGGAATTGAGAGCCTCCTGTGAGTTGCCAGGGGATCCAAAGGAAGCTCAGTACCTCACAGACCTTACAAACACACGTGCTGCAGCTGTGGCCAAGCACTGATTTTTGCCAGGTTGTGTCAGAAACAGCTGAACCAGAGGGACATGCAAGGTCTTAGACGGAGTGCCAACAGATGCTGTAAAGCATTTTTGTGAAGAATCTTCTAGTTTTTAAAGTTCACTGGAAAATACATACACAGAACTGGTGCTGGGATGCTTTTAAGCAAGATTCCCTGTTCACATTTGGGTTTTCTTCTCGCCAGTATGTCAGCTGTCATTTCTATCTAAAAGTTTCTGGAAATTGTTTAGCAGAATTTGAGGACTAAAAGAAGGATGGTTAAAGGCATCTCCACAGCCCAGGCCAGGGCTGGGCTCTAATCCAGTACTTTCTGGCAGAAGTAGGCACTTGTGCAGCTGAGAAATTATTTCCTACCAGCCAGTTCTTCAGTTCAGTCATGTAGGTAGGACAGGACAACAGAAAATTTACTTTACTACTCTGAAAAGTTGGACAAGGCATCTTCAGAAAATAAGGAGCTTTTCTCTAAATCCTTATCTGGCAGGTTCCCTTAACAGCAGTCTGTGAAGAATGACAACCCAAACCTCTGCAGCAACTCCTATCCTGCAGTGCACGGCATCTGTATCCTAGATGTCCTGCTGGACAAAAACTAAGCACTGCAAAATTCTGTCCCAGCCAACTCTTGGTCTTCCCTTCTGTGATACCAAAGTTCAAGCTGTTCCTTCTCTCAACAGAGCATGATGGGGTTATATACATTAACTGAAAGAAACAGAGGCATAATAACAGGGTTTGAGAAAGCCCAGGAAAGTCTGATTTCATACAGCTCAATTGTAAATGCACCCCACCAATCTTCACCACTGCTTTTAGGTAAATAGGAATTCTCCATTTCTTACATCTAGGTATATTATGTTTGTTACCTTGGTATTTTGCCCTTAACTAAATCCCCCAATGTATGTATTACTAACAGAGTTAATTAGAATGAGAATGGGTTTAGAGCAAGAAGAAATTATCTGACAGCACTGAAAATGGGAACGGTTTGTGTGCTATAAAACTTGAGAACTGCACTTCAGGGTGTGAATATTTTCACAAGAAAGCAATTACATTGATGAAAGCTGATCAGTAAAATAGCCTGAATAATTTGTGTATGTGTGGGGAAGGGAGTTCAGAGATAGCTGACTGGAGTAGGAATGCATATTACAGGAAGCAATTAGAAAAAGTTCTTTTTTTCCCCTTTTTTATTTCAGAGTTTGATACTGAGCTACAGAGTATTGCTGTTATGAAGAACGGACATGGAACCCAAGACTGAGTTTTTAAAAAGTAGTTGAGGCAAGCAAAAAAAAGAGACTGGTGGACAAAACACAACATAGTGTGATACGCTTTGTCTTCCCTAACTCTTCTATGATTTGGCAACACTATAATGTCAGCATATTTCATGACTCGAGAAATAAAAACCAAATGATTTTGTCATCGCTGCTCCTGCCAAGAGACACATACCTCCTGCTCCTTCCCTAGATACCAGCACACTTCAGCTCTGCTCTGCTCAGGCAGCTCATTGCAAGGACTGGTACACATGATCCCCACCACGCGGGCCAAGGGCAGAAGCCAAAGCTGCAGAGAAAACACAGGCCAGCTTTTCATGGACAAGCCTTACATAGCAAGTGTCTTGGCATGGCATGGAGAGGGGTTTGGGGACAAAATCCTTGTGCCAATCATTTCCTTTAGAATCATCAGTAGATTAACTACAGAATAATGATGCTAACTTTTAATATTTCTGGAGGACCACTCACAGCACCGATCTGGGTGGCAGCACTTTGCATTCCCTGAGACACTTCTCACAGGGCTCTGCAGACCTGGGCATGGGGGATTTTACCAGCTGCAATGGGTGCACAGGGGAGAGGTCCAATTAAAAAATCTAAACCATGGAATTTTATTTCAGATATATTTTCCTTAAATGATGAAAGACTCATGTCCATTTGTTTTTCTTTTTTTTTTTTTTTTTTTTTTTTTCTTTTTCCATGCAATAATGCAGCCAAAACTGAATTCTGCACCATTTCATGTCCCCAGAATACCAGGGTACCTGGTAAAAATAAATGTACTTCCAAAACATGCATGACAAAAATCCTGACTATCCAGCATTTGGGCCCAAGGACACCCACAGGTCTGGCTGTCCCTACTGACCCTTGGGCTACCACCCCTTACTCATGGCCCAGGATCCCATGTCAGTCCCCCCAGCCCATCAGACTCTGCCCCAGCAACACCACAGCAGGGCTGCTCTCCTGTACCCCCGAGCAGAGCAGAGCCACATCCTGGCCTGTCCTTGGCCCACCCTCATCCTCGGGGAGGTGCCAGATGCCACCCTGGTGCCGGGTGTCCTGTTCTGGCAGGGTGGTGGGACAGGCCCCAGATGCCCAGCTCTGCCTGGCAGTCCCATGGGAGCCCCTGCTCCACTGACCCTCATGGGACCCTGATACTCTGCTTGACAAGCTGGAAATGCACGTGGCTTAGCTTCCTTTCATTTGAGCAATGTGTCTGTCCATTTTAAAAATTAGCAACACTTATCTATTTATTTTTTAATTCATGCAATTCAAAGTGCTTTAAAAGATGAGTAGTTACCATGTGGTCAATAATTCATAGGAAAATTCAAATTAATTAGGGCACAACATTGCATCAAAAGCCAATGACTCTGCTTTCCAAAATATCAGTCAAGGAAAGGGAGATGAACTAGAATTACCCAAAGCAATGTGGTAGGCTGACAGCAAGGTCAGGAATTGAAATAAAATATTCCAGTATCCAGTCCAATACACATGTCTACCAGATGCTATTTCTACTTCATCATGGTTAACTAAGAACACTAGCAGAATAATTAAAACTAATGGGAGTAAAACAAACAAAATAAAAAATCTTCCCAATTCTAATTGAAGAGGCTGCTCAGAAAGTCTTTGAGTGAGTAATGACATATTCCTTTCTACTATAGAAATTTACCTTATAAGAATCTGCTTCATTGTCAAAATCAATAATGTCCAAATTTGATCTCACTGATGATAGTGAAAATACAGAAGTCTTCCACTAAGCTGAGTGGCATTAAACCACACACACCTAGACCTAAGATCAACAGCTAGGCAGAGGTTCCATGTGGATACACACCATGTCTGCAGTACAAATAACATGTGGAGCAGAGAAATTGCTATTACTCAGCATGTTTCAGAAACTATGGGGAAAAGAAAGAGGATATGACATGTCTGGGAAAGTGTATTCAAAACAAGACCAACAAAAAAAAAAAAAAAAAAAAGAAGGCACTGTTTGAAGCTGCAGAAGTGTACTGAAGGTGAGTTATATTTTATTTTATTTCATTAAAATATATTTTAAAAACATACTGTGTAAAAGAATTAGGATTCTCAATAATTTATTATTTACATTAACAAATTCTGTTTGACTGTTATTCTACAGACAGAAATGAAAAGTCTGCGGAAGGGAGTTGTATCAGCTTCTTCAGGACCAAGCAAGCCTCTTGTCCAAGAAACATATCCAAAAATGCATTTCTTTCCATTTCAGTCCCTTCAAAATAATATTTGCAAACAGATGGCAAAAAGCTCAATGAAAGGTCATGCTGGTGAGTGTTGAGCACTCACAGTGAGAGCCAGGAATTCAGGGTGCTCTGCAAGGGAGAGACCCCAAGGAAACATTAACATTGCACTACTCAACAATCAAGAGGCTGCAGGGTCCAATCCCACTCTTGCTCCCACTGTCCTATCTCTGCTGAAATCCATGGCATTACACAACAAGGAGGCCTGCACGTGACCCCTCCAGGCAGATCTCAGAAAACTGGACAAACTCCTTGAGACAGGGTGGCAGTGGAGAGACTGTTTTTCCTACCACTGTAGGCACACTGCAACTTATCATTCTTTTTCAGTCCAAAGACAACATAAATCTCATTGTCTTCCTTCCCATCTTCTGGGAAGAAATATGCATAGGGAATTATCTCTCTGATGTAAACATCTGTAAGCACCATTCACATATGCTGGTCCACATAAAAAGAAAAAATATTATGAAAGTGCCTGCTGTAGCCTTGACCCTTCTTAGTGGAGCAGCTCAGCTTTCCCATCGGCTTTCCAGACTTCCGAAATCATCCAGGTACCCAAACATCATGCACAGCTCATTGCAATGCCAGTTGCTGTCTGCTTTACTATTCCAGGAAAGAGCAGTTGCCCTTCCAGTGATTATACAAAAGCCCGTGATTAAAAGAAGTAAAGCTGTCAGCTCGTGTGTTCTGTGTCCTGGAGGCACTCAATGGTATTTCTGACATCTCGTGTAAGGCACCAATCATCCGGTAGCTGAGCAAAAAGCGACCCACGAGACCTCCATTAAGCAACTGCAGAGGGAACTGACAAAGTTCAGCTGGTTTGCTTCTCTTCTTGCTTACAAAGCATAAAAATCGTGGTCACGCCATCTGAGGAAGTTTCTGGTGGTATCCTAAAAGGGGAACTCAGCTTGCACCTCAAGGAGCACGAGTGACTTGTGCCTGCTTCAGCACAAGTTTCTGACAGCTGCATCAGGGCGGCAATTCCCACAGACATCGCAGAGATTTCCTTGATCCCCAGGAAGCCTCTGCTGCCTTGCTTTCACAGAAACTGAGTTTGTTGTCAGCAGCAAAGCAGGTTCCTCCTTACAAGATGTCTCCACAACACACAAAGGAGGACCACACTTACAAAACCAGCTTTGTGGTGCTCTTGCTGCAGCTTCCCTGCTGTTGGTCTTATCTGCACAGCCTTATTCACAGAGATGCAATGCCAGAGATAGCAGAACCTATGGATGAAGAGGTTGGCTGGATGCTGGCTGACTGCACTCCTGAGCAGCCTCAGTCCAGAATATCAGTCTCAAACGGGACCAGGTGGTAGTATGTCAAATTGGTGACATAAGCTGTTGGATCATCACTGTCTTCCAGCTCTGAGGTAAAGTCACTAACACTTTCGAACCTAAGGAGAGATAAAAAAAAAAACAAAAAAAAACAAAAAAAAAAAAACACCAAAAGGCATTAAGTAATTTAGAAAATCAAAGGAATTGGGAAAAAAAGTACTAAGGGAGTGGGAGAAGCACTTGGAGCTGATTTCATCCACACCTCCTTCATCTCCTATACTCATGTGTTTATGACTAAACCATGGGCCAGTGAAAACTATGGTGAATGCAAGCAAGTAATCTTGACACCCCTAACTTTCAAAGCTACTAGCGAGGAAGGAAGGAAGGAAGCAGCAAATGAGTCTTGGAAGAGTGAATCACGCAGTTGAAGTCCACATCCTTCCATATTGTTCCCACAGCATGTGTCAACAACACACGATGCCTCAGTTCTCACATAAAAGTGAAAAATAAACTGCCTTTGTTTCACATCTGAATTTGGGCTCTCAGTGTTTCATTTCACAGGCACCCCTTCTCTGGGTTTGGCTTTTGTAAGAGGCCGAGTGTCTAACACAGGTAGGAAAAAATGACTAGAGAGTCCTTCTTCCAGAGTCTAGCTGTCCTTCCCGTGGTACGAGGTTTAGATTTTGACAATCAAAGAATCTACAAATATTAAAGATTCCCAAATTTAGTTTCACTTGTTTCGGTATTTTCTTCCCTACTTCCCGACACCTGTTTCATAACCTGCACTTTTGCAAGAATTACCTACTGTCTCATATCAACTTTCAACCAGAAGGCATCAAGCTGTTAAAACCTACACTTCTCACAGTTACACACATTCCCATTTCAAGAAGGTTTGAATTTCTGTGGTAAGAAACATTATCTTCTTTCTAGGATAGCCTAGCAGTTAAAGGCAGTCACTGCAGGCCAAGGACCAAATTTCACCTCAGTTCTAAAAGGGGTCTGAAGAACTGTAAAGTTTCTTTTTGTCAAACTCTCTCTTTAATATTTTGAAAGAAATTTCATTTACTATGACAGAGTGAGAAATAAAAGGAAGAAGAAAGTGAAAAATTGCAAAAGATGGAAAAAGAAATTCTAACCTAGCTCTCACTTTCTGCATGTGTCTCTAACACCTTTATCAGCCTAGCTGGCCTACTGCAGTTCTCTGAATGGCAGACAAACAGATGGCTTTAAAATAATTAATATTTAAAACTGCATCTTATCTATACATGAACTAATTAGACTCTTTAAATATGTGAAACAACTGGACAACCCCCTAACCTTGCCCTCGAGAGTGACTTAAGAGAAAAATATTTCAGAGGACCTGAAGAAGAGTGGTAGGGCAAACAGAGACAAGTCTCCCACTCCCATCTCTTCCCAAAATTTTATTTAGAGCTATCATGGGTTACAGGATAGCCTGGTCTATACATCCTGCAACACAAGGCCACAGTTCTGTCTTTTCCATACTCCTTCCTGGTCCTTCTCATCTCTTTTTTTTTTTTTTTTTTTTTTTACTATGAGAGCCAAAATAGAGAAGATTTTTTTGGAGCAGAAACTAATGGATTTTCTCCCGCAGCTTTGCTCTTCACTTTAAATGAAACAGCAATGAGACTGAACTTTGAATGTTTATTGCCCTCATTCCTCTAGTCCCTCCAGGCTGTTTACTTGCCTGCGTGTGTGGGAACAAGGGAGTGTGTGTGCACAAGGGAGTTGACTTGGTATCTTGAAAATACTTCACAGATCATGTTGTGCTGTCTTATGGACTGCAAGTGATCCAGAAACAACACATTATGAAATACCAGTGGGGAGATAGAGTGAAAAAAGCAGAAGAGGAGTCAAGAAGGCTACTCAGATACTGCTCTTTTTCTCTTATCAGCATAAAGCTACAATATTACATCTGAAAGGTCCCAAAGATTTTGTGGTTCTCCAGCCTCACTGATAGGTTACTACAAGCAGAATGTGAGGAGCAAAGCAGTGGACATCAGATGCTGTGGTTAAGCAGAAAGCTTTTCTTGCCACCACAAATGAAGTGTGTGCACAGCAGTCTGCAAAGCACTGCTCTAGACTGCTCACAAAAAACCAAACTCAATAAACCAGGGCTGTTTACCACAGTCAGAAGCTGTGTATGACAGCAACAGTCAAAATATTTTTGTGCTGTTACCAACAGGTCTTTCTCTCAAAATAAATTCAGCAACTCTACTGTGGACCTTCAGATTCCTAAATGCCTGAATTGCTAACCTTAATTTCTTTTCCTCTAAGCCCCTTGACAGACACACCAGACACACTGTCTTTTGCAAGAGCCTACTTTTTGTGTTGGAAGACAAAATTCTTTATAATTTTGACCTCTGTTAATACATTAGATTTGCTACTCAGATTCGCCAAGAAGAAGAGGAACATAGAAGCTTATGGTTTGGACAGGCTTGCTGGGTAAAAAACTGGTGGCTGGGCTCAAAGATTGAGGGATGTTGAATGGAATTAAATCTATTTGGTAGCCTTTCACAAGTAGTGTTTTCCTGGGCTCAGTTTTGGGGCCAGTCCTGTTGAATATCTTTATTAATGGTCTGAATGTGGGGACCAAGTGCACCCTCTTGCACTCTGTTTGCAGGTGACACCAAGCTGAGTCGGAGTGCCAATGTGCTGGAGGATAGGAAGGCTTTCCAAGAAGGATCTGGACAGTCTGGATTGATTGGCTAAAGCCACTTGCATGAGCTCCAATAAGACTAAATGCTGGGTTCTGCACTTGTGTCACAACAAGTGACCCTGAGCAGAGCTACAGGGTGGGGGCAGAGTGGCTGTAAAACTGCCTGGCAAGAAACGACCTGGGGATGCTGGTCAACAGTGGCTGAACAGGAACCAGAGGGTGCCCAGGGGGCCAAGAAGGTCAGGGCATCCTGGCCTGTATCAGAAACAGTGACCAGCAGGAGCAGGGCAGGGATTGTCCCCCTGTACCCAGCAATGGTGAGGCTGCACCTTGAGTCCTGTGTCCAGTTCTGGGCCCCTCGCAGCAAGAAGGACATTGAGGGGCTGGAGCCTGTCCAGAGAAGGGCAACAGGGCTGGGGAAAGGTCTGCAGCACAAGTCTGATGAGCAGTACCCAAGGGAGCTGAGGTTTTTTAGCCTGGAGAAGAGGAGGCTCAGGAGAGACCTTATCACTCTCTACAGCTGCCTGAAAGGTAGGTAGCCAGCTGTGGAGTTAGACTCTTCTCCAGGTAACAAGTGACAGGGCAAGAAGTAAGGGCCTCAAGTTCTACTGGGGAAAGTTTAGATTAGATATTAGGAAAAATTTCTTGACTGAAAGGGTTGGCAAGCATTGGAACAAGCTGCCCAGGAAAGTGGTTGAGTCACCACATTTCACAGAATCATATAATGGTTTGTTTTGGAAGGGATCTGAAAGATCATCTACTTCCAACATCCCTGCCATGAGCAGGGACACCTTTCACTAGGTCAGTTTACTCAGATCCCCATCCAGCCTGATTCTGAATGCCTCCAGGGATGGGGAATCCACAACCTGGGAAACTTGTTTTAGTATCTGACAACCCTTATCTAAAAATTTTCTTCCTAATAGCTAATCTAAACCTACTCTCCTTCAGCTTAAGGCCACCCCCCTTATCCTATCACATGCCCCCATGAAAATTCCCTCTACATCTCTCTTGCAGGCCTCCTTCAGGTACTGGAGTGACTTTGCCAAAAAGGCAGCTTATCCAATGCTACAGACGCTGCTGCTGGCCTAGAAGACAGAAGTGGAAACAGCCTTTGCAGAGAAAGGTACCTCTGTAACAAAACCAAACCATGAGTTCAAATGCATTTATTTACCACCTTTTTCTTTCAAAAGGACTTCACTGCACTCCAAGAACCACACACAAAAGGAGTAGTTATGCTACATGGATGCTGAACACACTGGCTTCACCACAGTTTGCAACACTGTGCTGTACTGCCAAATAAAATCAGAGAGAAAATGAAGGAAGCAGAAAAGACCTACTTCAGAACAACAGAGTAAGCAACTGCAACTTGGAAAAGTGCTGTGGTTTATTTTGCAACAAGTATAAGACTTCTCAGCTGATGCATCACTGGGCAGGTAGCTCTGCAGGCTACACAGCTAGCCAGTATAGGCAATGAGCACTTCCTGCTGAAGCTTCAAGCACTTCTTCCCAAAAAATACAGCTTTGCTCTGCAAAATGTGTCATTCAAGTCCATCAGCAGCCAAAACCCAGAAGTCATAAAGAGTTTAATGCAGTTGAAAGGAAAAAATTCCCATCTGAGGATATCAAGTCCAGAGGGAATTAACTCTAATTTCAGAGTTATGGTAGAACACACCATAAATCCAATTTTACTGAAACCGAAAGAGAGCAGCATAGGATTTGAAAGATTTTAAAGTTTCCTTTCTGGGCTAATAATATACATTTAAAACAACATTATAGAAAATCTCTGCTTTTGAAAAAGGTTCAATTTTTACAAAACAGCTGTGTTACACTGTTCCACTATCTCCTGGCTATTATGTCTTGGCTATAAAATACAGCTGCAGGATGGGAAAATTTAGGGCACTGTATAACACACACATTCGAAATTTATTAACTTCTTGACTCTTGACTTCACATCCTTTGGAAAGTTAAATTAAGTCAGGCTGTTACCCTAGATTAATTTCTTCCACCACAGCTTATGGGAAACTATGTCTACCATTCAGTTTTTATCACATTCATATTTTCTGACCTTAACAGTCTCTGACTTCAATGGGATGACAGATGATTGTAGTTTCTGATCCCAGGTAAGTTTCTGTAAGTTTTGCTTGGGCTGGAGCACATTTTTAAAATCAATACTAGCTATAAATATTTGTTAAATACTTAAAAAAAAATAATCAAAGTAAGGCAGGAAAAGGCTTTCTTTGGTAATCTTCTCCTATAATTTGTCACTTTCAGTACAAAGTATGACCCACTGTGAACTATAACAATTTTAATTTCCAGGTATTGGCCTTACAAAATTACCTCTAGTGTGCCATTTCAGCCTCATTATTACAATCTTTTAAGCTTAAATGCTGTTAGCAAGGTCGAGGTTCAGAACACCAAGTGATAAGTTAATAAAAAGACTTCAAGAAATTACACTCAAGCCAGACATATTCTCCAGCCCCTGATAAAATGTTGCCAAGCTCTAAACCTTGTTACAGACTGGCATTTCAAATATGACAAGACATATCACCGTGTCCAAAGCTAAAAGCTCCATAAGTCTTTTAGTATTCTCTTTCCCTCATTCGACTGGTCAAATGAAAAAGTAGGTCAATATTTCTCATCAAAAATATTAAAATTTTCACTCCCTTCACTCCCTGAACTCACTTCACTCCCTGAAGCTCATTGAAATATCAATCACCTGGTATAACAGAAATCTGTAGGAGCATATTTCCATCAATACCCATCTGGGAATACAGTCACTGGCTTAAGACCTACATGAATCACAGAATGGTTGGGGTTAGAATGGACCTCTGGAGATCATTCACTCCAACCCTCTGACAAGACAGGGTCACCCAGGGCATGTGACACAGGAGCACATCCAGGAGGGTTTGGAATGCCTCCAGAGAGGAAGACTCCATGACTTTCCTGGGCAGCCTGCTCCAGTGCTCTGCTATCCTTATTGCAAATAAATTCTTCCTCATGTTGAGATGGAACTCCTTGTGCTTTATTTTATGGCCATAGAAGCCCTTCTGGTTACAGGTTTCTGAGGCCAGAATACTTATATGCATTAGGAAGCAGAACTGTCCAATGAAACCAGTCTAACTTGCCTTTTCCCTAAGGATATACACACGCTACCAAGTCCCAGCTGAGCAGCTGTTGACCTTTGTTCAATTACTTTCAGGGATGTGTTCCCCTCTGAGGACAGTGTTTTGCTTCCCAGACATTCTCCTATCCTTTGTAGCAGGATATGCCATTTGTTAGGCTGTTTGAGTTTCCAAGTTTGGGCTCAAACCAGCTCTCATCACAGTCATGAGAGAAGAAATAATTCTGTTCTCCCTTCACAGCACCCCTACAGCAACCTCAGTTCTTTTTTCATACACAGATGATTGACCACTTTGGGATCAATCATTCTCCCATTTTACCCACTTTAACAGGAAATTGCTGTGAAGTATCAGGAATCAGGCCCAGCAACCTTTAACCTGTCAGGATGACAGCTGTACCAGTCTTGCTCTTAGGCAGACAATAACATTTTGCTAGGGGGGTGGGAAAGCTACAGTGAAGGTGACAGCATTGCTCTTGCTCAAATTCCACTTACAAATGTTCTGCTGAATCTACATCCAGGTGCTTCTCTTTTCCATTAGGTATACTGTGGTCAATTACTATTGTTTCAGTGTTGGCTAAACAGAATCCGTTTGATCGCATGATTTCTGTTGGGAGAAAAAAGAAAACAAGATTAAAAAAAAAAGGCTGGAAAACAACTGTGTATCATAAGTAATTGACATTGCTATAAACTGATACGTGCACATGACAGGAAAGCAGGAATGAAGAGTTGGTTCACAGCTTCTTAAATCTGACAGTGCTCAAGTAATTTTATTCACCTAACCAATTAATGACACAGAGCATCTGAAACAACTACCACTACCAAATCATAATTGTATTTTTCTTAGACAGTCCTAGGCTTAGGCAAAAATAAAATAGTCATAACAAGGGAAATGAACAGTGACCTTACAAGTTAATTCAACCTCTAAGATGTATAAAGAAATACCATGTTTTACACTGCCCTTGATACTGCTGATTTGTTTCTAACTGTGTTAGAAGCCTCCAATACAGAATATCTAAAATTTACACCTAATTCCCCTGACTTACTACCGTGGGGAGAACTGATAACTAAAGAACAGTATTTGATGTGAATGAGAAGTTAATGCACACCTGTGCTCTGTGGAAAATCAAACTAGGCAAGTCACAAGGATTTCTTTCAGTCACACAATTTTAGATGAAGCTAGGACCAAGACAAAATAAATGTACTTTTCAAAAAAATCAGTAGTGACTTAAGTAGGATAACTCTTGATCTGCCTCAAGACACTGTGACCCTGTGTTACAGCCTTGCATCATCAGCACAACAAAAAAAAACTAGTCTGTGGCACAAAATATGGCAGGCAGAAAACACACCAACAAATTTCATCTATATATACAGTTCAAGCAAAGAACAGGAGATGAGGCATGAGAGGAGGTAATTTTTTTTAAGATTACATGCTCCTGCATTAAGGTAAAGCCAATACTCACTTCCATATCTTTCTCGAGACTCATCTTTGATTTTCATGCCGTATTTTACTGCAGCTCACTTTAGCCGAATACATTTGGGGGTTGTGAAAACACTTGAACCCCAGCAGAATCACATTTCACATGACTCATCTTGAGCCATCATTGTATGATTGTAAAATAAGATTTACAATATAAATTCAAATTCAGCTTTCATCTTAGAGGGCAGCCCTTTCTCTCTTCTCCATCACCTACCACTCTGAGCAGGACCTTTTGGGGGACAGTTTGTTTTTTCAGAGAATACAAAAGATTTTTGTCTGCTTTTCCAAGACTGTGAGCCAGGTAGATAGCTGCACTATGAGTAACAGGAATGTCAGTATTTTCCCAGTGTCCTTGACTTGACCTAAGAGTTGCAGCATTTCACTGCTGCATGAACTGCTTTACCCATTATCATTTACTGCCATCTACTGACAGTGCTGCCAGACACCGAACCATTTCCATTGTGCAACATCCAGATGAGGCAAATATCAATTAACATCTAATTTCCACCTGTGTTCTGAGCATTAATGGCAATCACTTGAATGATGAAAATTAATTACCACAAGATGCTGCATAGGTAGGAGAATCTTCCTCCAGTTAATTAGGTATGACTCGTCACTACCAACAATAATTTAGAATGAAAACATGCTATTATTCAGCTGAGATAGTTTTGTTAGCACCAAAGAAAACTGATACCAGTTATTATAAACATTGAAGAACTATGTAGTATTTCACTTCAATTAACTGTAAATAAGCTCTTGTAGTGACACAAAACCAGGAGTTGGCATTAGGTTTAAACAAGTGTTTCAGTATAGAAATACAAAACCAGGCACACCAGAAGCTCACAGACCTTTTGACAATGGCCAGTAGCAGATGAAGAGGGGAAAGGCTAAAAGAATAGGCAAGGATAGGCTCTTCACTTTACCCACTAGCAATCTGTGGTTTAGAACTTCCTATGTCTCCACCTGTGACAGGTTTCAATGTACTTGTCCTCCACTCCCCTGTCTTTTGAATTCCCTTTTGAAGTCACTTCTGCTTTCAGTTCCACCATATCCTATGACAATGAGTTCCACTCCTTAACTATGCTTTGTATGGAAACAAAACAATATTATAACCTTTCTTTTGTTTATTTAAAGCCTGTTGTCTGGCAATGATATTGGATAACCTATAGCTCTTGTTTCATAAGAAGTACAGGGTAATTGACCTCCTTCCATTCGCAGCTTTGTGGACTTCCATCATACCAGTCTGTCATCTCTTCTCATAGGTGGAGGTGTCCTTCTTTAATTAACCCTTTTTTTAGAGAAGCTGTTCAACAACTTGAATCCTCACTGTTTATTTGTATAATTTTAAATTCTATTATATCCTGAGATGGAGAAACCAAAATTGTACATATTGTATTCAAGAGGGGGCTATGCTCTTCTCCTCTGTTTCCTTCTCCTTTCCTAATAATACCTAATATTCTCACTGCTGATATTGCACATTTCTTGACACCAAGATTACCCTTTCACAGAACTGTATCAATAGCCTCAAAATCTCCTTTCTAAGTGCTAACAGCACTATCATATGTGATGATGTGCAGTAAGGACTGCATTTTCCTCTCATTCACTGCTTTGCATTTGTTAGCCACCCATTTCACCTGCCACTTTATTGCCTGAATGCACCTTGCACAGTATATCAAGGAAAATTATATGTTCTATATCACAAAGCACTATTGAGAACTACATTTTGAATTGTCGATAGAAAAATAATAATGGGAACAGCAAATAAAGTAATTTTCTTTCTTCAATTCTTGTGCCAACTGCAGGTAGATAACAATTCTTACCTGATATTTTAACTGGACTTTGAAAGCTTGGCTGAATTTTATGGACATTGTCATTTTTTAGAACTTGGTCCAAGGGAGATCTCTCAAAGAATGTGAGGACAACTTCAGACCTTGAATACTTAAAAAGAGAGAGAAAAAACCAGACATCCATTTTTAACCAGTAGTTTGCTTTGTCCCTCTTCTCCATTTCCACCCCTTCATAGTATGACAAAAAGACATTATAAGTGACAGCTTGGAGGCATCATTACACAGTTCTGGCACTCAGCATTTCTCCAAGTTACTCAATAAATTGCTGCTTCTTTCAGAGTTTGGCAAAGCCCATCACATTCTAATCTGCATGAGAGTGCATGTCACCACGAAGGAGGAGTCAAGCTGGGCTAAATTGGAACTTGGCTTACTCACCTTCCAGGGCATGTTTATAATAGTCTTCAGAAGCTTTTCCACTTCATTAAGTCTGGCTTCTATATCATGGGCTTCTTTTATTGTGATGAGCCCTAGAAACAAAGTAAACAGATCATAAGCATAAACAAAAGCACACTTAGGCACACTTTAGCAGCCAAAAGCAGCCCCTCAGGAAGACATGGAACAACCTCAAATATGCCTTCCAGAAATGTCTTTTAAACCAGCTGATGATAAAGCGTGCACCCCAAACTGAGGTGGGTGTAGTTTACAAGCAGAGTTGCAAGCCTGACACAAACTCAGCTGTTTATGACCATATGTAGGAATTGCAAGACAAGCAGAAGTAGAACCACCTACTCCCTCACCCACAGTTTCACTACACAGCATTCCCAGCAGTGATAATTAAACAGCCCACTTTCTGCTTCCAAGAACCATTATTCATCCTTTTTTTTCCTGTAAATAAAAAGCAAAAGAAAACCCAAGAAAACCAAAAGACACTTCCTACAGATAAGAGGGGAAAAAAATCCCCACAAGCTAAACAAAAGGCTTTGAGAGCAGTTTTGTGTTTCTCTGACTGTAAGCCCCAGTGAGTGGTCCAAGGAAAATTTGTCAGTATTATGTTTTTCAAGTGCAAGATAACTGTTAGGGTTTTTTTTTTTTTTTTTTGAATCTATTCAGTCACTGAATTATCACAGTGCTGCAGAAGGGATTAAGACTGAAATTTCACTGCCCAATATCCAGAATAATGCATTACAATGCAATATAGAATTGCTTGGTATGGTGATCTCAAACACTGATACTGTATTTTGTATGTATAACCTGCAGGACTACTCTAACTTCCCCCTCCTCTAGCAGACTGAAGGAAATACTGCACAGGTTGCATGTATGTATGTAGATGCATGCATGGGGCATATGAGGAGAAGTAAATCCCAAGATCTCACATCCCTCTAGTGATCCTTTTATTGCTGATATTTGCAACCTACTTTTTCTAATCAAATCACTATTTAACTTCTACATTTGTGCATCTTTTCCAAGGAGCAGGATACACTCATGAAAATGAAATACCTAAGAGAAATTATTAAATATAAGAAGCCACAATAAACAAACAAACAAACAAAAAATGAACAAAAAGCTGTATTTTCCCTGTGTCCTTGACAGAAACAGGAAAAGATACAATAAATCAGAACAATCAAAATTAAAAAACTGCAAAGCAGTCTGTGACAAAGCACTTCAGTATACTACAGTTGTGTTAAAGTAAGTGTATCTGCATCTTCCTAATCAAAAGACAAATGTAGAGCCATCAAATATGCGGAGTGTGGGAACAGTATCCACAAACAGTTTCATTCTGCACCAGTCCTTCTTGTTTGCTACCAACAAGATACAATCCCACAGAAACTTTCCAGACAAAAGTGTGACTTGGAAGCTGTCAGCTCTCCTCCAGTTACAGCTCCAAATAAAACAGAGATTGTCTCCAAAGCAACGGGGTTTACTTGACAGTTGTCCCACAAAAGTCCCCTGCTTGTATAAGCCTTTCTCTTGCTCAACAGTCCTTCATTTTGCCTGTTTTTTCAGCATGGCTATTGCCTCACCCCGGTACAACTCACCCCCCCTCTTGACAGCAATGCATCCTAGCAGGCATATAAGGGAGGTGCTGTGTGTCTTGCTTTGGCTGGTGTACACTACAGTCAGGTAGCTTTGCTTGGAAATTCTCTGAAAGGCTGTAAATGTGAATAAACTCATCTGCATGGCTCCACAGACTGCATACTAGCTGGGCTGTGCTTGACAATACAGACCTGGATTGCATTCCAGCACCCTTCATCATCCTAACTATGGGGTGCAGGCCTGGGTGGATCTGCTTGGCCCCTCCACAAATACATTCCCATCCCACATTTGGATTGAGTTCAAATTTTTCAAAGAAAGGGCTGTCATCTTCCCTAAAAGAAGGAAGAAGCTGCCAATGGCCCCACAGCTCAGACACCCATCCATGATGTTAGAAACACACTGCTGGCCGTGCTGCAGTCCACATCAAAAAAACAGAGAAAACAGAGCCAGCCACCCTGGTGCCAGCTGCCATGGGGTGCCTCCACTTCTCCTGCTGCTCTTGATCCACTCTGCATAAACACTGATATAGTCAGAGCAGAGACTGCCCAGCTGTGGCTCCCACCTCATCTCCAATCCACCAGGGATTCAGCATTCAGCTGCTCCCTCTCAAATCTGCCCTCGATCTCAGACCATTTCCCAGAGAAGCATGCACTGTTGGAACTAGTATTTTGCCAGGAAGAGAGATACTTTCAAACAAATGAAGATATTCAGACTGGGAGGGGGAGGAAAAAAAAACAAAAACCAAAGCCACCTCGGAAACAACCCTGAGCATTCATCCCATGAAGAAAACCAGCCAAGCGGTCAGGATTTCTCTCATTAGTAATCAGGGAAAGCATCTGCAGCTCCACATGGTCTTTTTATGCTTCACCAAGAAGTCAGACAAGGCTGTCAGCCTGTTGCACTGTCACAGATCACCCCGTGGGAGGTTTTACAGCTTCTTGCGTTCACAAGGAATTTCCAGCCCTGGTATATTATCTGCTTCCACCTCTTGGAAAGACACCAGCCATGTAAATCCACACTCCAACCTGGAAACTGGCACAGAAGACTTGTAACATCTGACACCATAAAAACTGTTTCTTACTGAAGCTTTCAGTAATATCAAAACCAAAAAGCAGACAGCGTAGGAAGGAGGGTGATACATCTGCCTGGACAGCTTCCTATATATGTGCTCAGTGATTGCAGATGTGCAGCTTTGGGGCGTAAGGCTGCTGACCTTGGATAAATTCCCCATACAGGGAGTTCAATTTGGCCAGGCTAAAGCCCTTCTTTTCATACATCTGCAACCCAAACAAACAGAAACTACTTGACTGGCCTTACATACATATATTTAAGCCTGTAATTTATTCTGCAATTGTCATGAAGTTTGTAAGGCCCTCATTTATCTTAATTCTACAAGTCTCTGTTTTTAAAAGTTAACAGATGCTCTTGTGGTTTTCAGTTAGTCATAGACCATGATCCCACAACCTGAGAGATTGCTCCCAACCACACAGCCACACTAACCAAAGTGAGGCACTGCCTGCCCAAGCAGCCAGGAGGAGTGGAGGTCCTGGTCCTTCCTTTCTATCCCTTTCAGCACTCTCTAACCGGCTGCTGCCATCAACCACAGCACCTACATGCATGAGGAACACTGGGGTTTCACAAGGTAAAGTCTCTGGTGTCAACACTGGTTTAAGGTGCTCCCACCATCCCCTGCACCTCATTTCCTCTCCCACACCACAACACAGAGCTGCTTTTGCTTTGCCAGCACAATTAGGTGAGCAGTAGGGAATACCTCAAACCACTCCTGTCAAAGGCTTCACCTCAGGAAACCCCAGACTCCAGAGAAGAAGCAAGAGACTGTAGGTGAGGATGCCCCATCCAAGCTCCTTTCACACCCAGGCACTATATTAAGTTTGAGCAGGAGCCAGAATTTGTGTAAAGAAGGAACCGAAGAAGAACAGAACTGTACCCAAGTTTCCAGTCCTATCCTTCACTTTGTGGGGGTTTCTCCTTTGCCTGTGTTCTTTCTCCTGTTTGGAAGATTTGTTGAGGCAGAAAGAAAGAGGAAAAAAAAATGCCAAAGACTGATGCAGGATCTCCAGACGCTGGAAACGCCTGAACAAACAGACACACAGACATGCCAGCTGACACTGCAGACAGAGCCCAGCACCCCCACCATTCATTAACCCTGACACAAATGTGCCAAAATGTGGATGCATCTGAAGCGTGTGGGACCCCCTGGCCACATATGAAGCATCCATACAGCAGCTGCAACATGTCCCCAGGCTGTTGTCTCTGCCCACGGGCCATAAATACATGTATAGCCTGCTTTTCCATATGGGGCTTTTACTATCCAAGAACCCTTACTCTGTTTGATATAAAATAAAAATAAGATACCAGTAAAGCAGCCAGTATCTTGGAACCAGTTGTGCTTTCCTCACTTGTTCAGTCATGCAGCAGAGCTGAACTCAGAGCTGGGAAATTTGTTAGTGAGGTCATGGTGAAAGGCTGTTCTCATGCCTTTTCTCAGCTCTGGCCCTTGTCTGGACTGCTAATGGAAAACATGCACACACTCCTCCCAGGAAAACTTTGCTCTCTGTCTTGTTACCTATACTGTGCTTGGACAATTAGCTGTTATTTCAAGTGATTTAAATGCTATAAACACCTATGTTTATAGGGTTTGACGTAAAAGGGCTCCTTTTTTTGCCACAAACCCTGCTGCCAAATACCACAAACTTCTAAGATTCCTTCCCCCTGCACACAGGGGAGCCAACAGGCTGGGTGACGGGAGGGATGACACTGCCTAACCCAGTGCGGCACTCACCTGTGCCTGGGAGACTGCTTTGCTTGTATTACATAATCAGTGACCTCATTCAATCCTTTTGACATTTTCTCTGCCCCTTTCCAGACCAAGAGCCCGGGACTTAAGACTGAAAAGGATTTGTTTTCAGTTTGAGACCAAGTGTAGATAACTCTGCGCAGAGCAACATGTGTCTGGAAAAGTATGGCACAAGCAGCACCAGAAGCCTGCAGCTTTCTTCCTGCCTGGGTCCCTGGTGCCGGGGCAGCTGCAGGAGGCTGGGAGAGCAGGCCAGCAGCTGTGTACCTGGCACGCTGGCTCACAGCGTGGGAGAGGGGCCCAGAGCTGCACACAGGCAGGAAACGAGCTCAGCAGCAGAGAAGGAACAGAGAGCCAACTCCTGGTGTAAACACACAAGCCTTGGTAGGGCTGTCCTATTACTGCTATGTGAGCCACCAAATCTGCAACTAATGACATTCTGAAAACCGCAGATAGTGCACCCCATGTTTCTACTGCAGGAAGCAGGACAGGAATTTCAGCATGTGCTCCATGGTTCATAATGAAATCACAGAGCAGTCCTCACAGTCAGTGTACACAACAAGCATTGTCTCAAAAATCCGCTAGTGCCCTCCAAGGAAGAGTAAGTTCATGCCCAAGTCAAATATGTTTCTGTAATGTCATGTCAATGATGACACACAGAAGTCTGTTTTTCTG